TCCTTTTTCTTCTGAGTTTTACGCCACCAATACTTTTTCCCCAGTTTTTTCTCTTTTTCATTATTTAAATTTTTTGTTGACTTGCAAGAAAAATAAGGAACGAAAAAGATTTTGATGATGCAGCAGAAGAAGAAGAAGAAGAAGATCAAGAAGCAGAAGAAAAAAAAAGTTTTTCAGATTAGTTTTTTACATTTTTTTTTCTTGCAGAAATAATTTTCCGTGTTTTATGTATGTGCCTATGTGTTTTCCAATTCAATTCACATTCTTTTATATCACTTTTAATCTTTTAACGCATTATTTGATTGTTGCATTCAACAGAAGAAAAAAAAAAAGCAAATTTTTTTTCTTCTTCTTCTTCGTTTTGCTGTTCTTGTTGTTGTTGTTGTTGTTGTTGAGTAAATCTCGAAAAGTACTGCTGTCATAAGAAGTGTTCACAAAAGCATTAACCAGTTTTTTTTCTTTTTTTTTTTTTTTTTGATGGTCAAGATAAATTGTTGAACAACTGACGAATTAGGTTGGCTAATTTTTCTGTCTTTCTGCTTTTTTTTTCTTTTTCTGCTTTTTCTTTTCTCAAAAAAGATGGAGAAAACGAGAGAGAGGATAACGAGGAAAAAAAGAAGGTGGAGAGGAGAGGGGGGGGGGGAGAGAAAACAGGAAGGACAAACATCCCAATCTTATGATTGTTTTAAATTGCAAGTTTTTGCGCTTTTTTTTTGGCTTTCGATAAGAAGGCGATAGCTGAATTAATTATTTTTTGTTTTCTAAATTAGATGAAAACAAAGATTAGGCTACACGGCAAAAGAGGAGGAAAAAAAATTAGTAAAGAAGAAGAACAAGTTGTTGCTATTACACTGAAGAGGAAAACAAAAAAAAAAACTTTTTTAAAATTATGAAAAGTTCAATGAAGCGTTTCTTGAAGAAACCTATGCATGTTGCTAAATTAACCTCAAAGAATGGACACATTTTGTATGAATACCTATATTTTTCAGCACATTATTTGCTCATTAGTTTTTCACCAAGAAAAAAAAAACAATATGTTGTTGTTGATTTTCAACAATTTTTTTGTTCGTATTGTTGTTGATGTTGTTGTTTTTAAGGTTGTGGTTGCGGTTTTTGTTATGCTTGTCGTAATTTATCATTATACAGCTTTGCACTTCTTATGAAGCGGAAAAGAAAGAAAGAAAAGATAAGGTGAAAAAATTAAACAATTTTTTTTTTCTTTGTTTATTTGTTCTATGTTGTATTCAACCTTCAGAAATGACACTGAATTCTACACCAGTGTAGTTCAGGATAGTTTTTAACTGGGAACAAAAGCATTGGTTTCAACACAGTGTAATGGTTGAATAATTTGGTGTAAAACCAAAGATCTGGCGGAAGCAGTAAATCTAAAGAAAGAAAAAAAAAGATCACCTGAAGATGCATTGGACAGGATAAAACCAATGATATACGAACACTATATAATATAGTTCCATCTTTGTGAATACGAACCAGCACATTCGGTTTATCGATCATATGCCGATGTGCTTGCTTTTCGTTCTAAAATTAAATTTCCTGTTCCTTTTTTTTTTTTATTCTTGTGCACAATCACAAAATTGTTGTTGCTGTTGTTGCTGATGATGATGATGAGGTTGATGATGACAACGATTAAGACGATGGTGATGATGATGATGATGACGGTAAAGAAATAAGTGTTCGATAAAGATGTCGTTGCTGACGCCGCGATAATGACCCTGGTAGTCAAAAGTATCGTTTTGCTGTTAACCAAGCAATTACTATAAAAATTAAATAAATTAATGATTGAACTGTCACGTTGATTTTAACAAAACTTAATTAGCCGATTCCCCGTAGTTAAGAAAAAAACAAAAGAAAGACGAGACGGACAACCAAAATTTCTGTTTATTCTACCCAAATGTCCCATTGGAAACAATCATTGTACCAGACACCAGAGTAGGAATCGTAATTATCTGTGTTTGTTGTATCTTAGCCTATAAACAGAAGTATTAGTCTACTTTTCTTCTAACCCACTTAGTTCCTTATCCTTGCAGATCTCTTCCTCATTACTTTCCAGTTGCATTCCGCCTCCCTGTCAAACCCCTCATTCTCAGAACCTCTTTCCCTCTTCCCTTCTCACCCCCCCCCCCCCCCCCCCCCCCCCCCCCC